TCTAGTTACAGACCTAGTCTCGTTACTTTTGTGTCACACCTCGTACATCTTCTCTATATCCGCTGAAAGTACATACTTGTGTATTCTGAATCGTAATAATATATCTATTAATTCACTCTGAACTGTTGGGCCGACCTTCTGAGTGTCGTTTAATGAAATGCCCGTGCTTGTTTTTGCCGATCCATCCAATACAACACGAAGTTTCGCCGTTGTACTTCCTTCTCTGATTACGACGTGATGAGGAAAATAAAATAATAACCCGATATCTATCTCTGAATTTGGGACTCGCGACATATGGCCTAATGATTCATACTCTGTGAGAAATTTTATATATTCTTCCCGTAACTGCGGTTGCCTACTGAATTTGTTTTCTAACGACCTAAGCCTATTTTCTGCGCTATGTCTGGACGATCCTAATTTCCCGATCTTGTCATTGAACGGAATCTGTACTATGAACCGTCCAATCTCATCTCTACGCGTTGTGGTTTGAAAATGTAATTCGCAATCATCTATGTTATCTTTCTGCTCTACTGTTACGTTCTCAACCTTCCAAAATTGTTCCAATTGATTGGAAAGATCGTGATTGGTAACGAGATTACACTGTTGTCTTGACGGTTTGTTTTGAATGGGCCATTTTACGGTTCACCCTAACACCCAACATAACTGCGTCTTTTGCCACAGTAAGTTGGTCCCTGCTTTCTGTTGACCGACGCATAATAGATGCCAGAACAATCCGGCACCGATTAACATATCAATCGGCCGACACTTATCGAAATTCGAGTCTGCTAATTTGACATGCGCCGGTACGGAAATTGCTAATTTTTCTATGTTAATGTTCGGCATGTCCTGAGTAATTCTATCTATTGTCAAGCATGAAATATTGGCGTTAAAGTTGTTGAATCGTGATGTTATCTTTATATTAACCCTATCTCGAAGTATTTTTACCTTTCCGCCTATCCCAGATACCTGCATTTCTGTAGGTTCACAGTTAATACCTAACTTTTTGCAAACATCGTACGTAACAAAATTCGACTGCGAACCTGAGTCAAGCAACGCCCGACATTCTAATTTCTGTCCCCCTTTGTTTTCTACGAAAATGACTGCTGTGGACAATATACTATGTTCCCAAGCTCTGTTATCAACATTTGCAACACATGACGCTATCTTATTGGGATCAGAAGGACCCGCTTTTTCTATAGAAACATTAGTTGCTTAAGGAGCAATTTCCCTATGCAACAGTATATGGTGTTTCAGGTTACAAATATCACAGAATTTTCGAGTACACTCTTGTACCCGATGACCAGTTTGCAAACAGTTGTAGCAACTGCGAGATGCTTGGACTATCTTTGTTTTTTCCTCAATCGACAATGACTTAAACTTTTCGCATCTAAACAAGGGGTGCCCAGCACTGCACGCTGGACAGGTAGTCGACGTGCTTGCGAGGGTCGTCGTTGCGCGCAACGGCTTGCCTTGTGGATACCTGCTACTACTATTGGGGTTTCCGTCTTTATATTCTGAATTGGAACATTAACACTTTCTAAGTATCTTGACCGTTCCTCTAAAAATCCTGTAAACTTATTGAATGTAACCCGATCTAAAGTTGCTGCACCCTTTTCCCATTCTCTTAACGAAGCTATATCTAATTTTCTCGATAGAATGGGAACTATTAGCGTATCCCATAACTCTACCGGGTCATTCAACGATTTCAAGGCTGCTAAGTGATTTCTTGCATCGTCAACTAAATTTCTAACAAGTAAACCTACCCAAGTGTCACTCTCTGATTTTTATGAAATTTGGATATGTTATAGTACATGGAAAATTAGGGGACACGTATTTTTTTTTATCCGCGGTAAAACATATTTAGGGTGTGAAACAACCCCCCAAAGTGTGAGGGTAAAATGGAAAAATTGCGATATTTTCAAGATCAGTGAAGCAATTTTGATGATTTTTGGTATGAAAGTATCTTTCGATAGAATACAAAAATTGGCCTAGGTATGTTGGAAGGGGAGTGAAAATTAGGGGGTGATGTATCCTAAAGCGATCAATTTCTTGCTGCAAAAAAATCAGTTTTGATCTGATCGAAACAAAATCTATTAAAACTTCAAGAGGAAAGTTAATTAGGGAACACGTATTTTTTTTTTTTTACATAAATATTTGGGACGTAAATAATTCCTAAATTACCGCGCTCGTTTGGCATTACGCATGAAACACCTTGCAAAACTGTATCTCTTAACTGTTCGATCTTTTTAATATATCGGTTTTTTACGTTACTGAATGTAAATCTGAAATCAAGATTCAATATAACGGATCCATTATGGCGGACGAAAACTCAAAAACCTACTTAAATAGACTGTATCTGTGACATGCGATTTTCTAAATACATTACAATTTCTGACATTCATTGTTAGGTATGTAAGGGGAATCAAGCGTGTTAAGAACATATTGTATATTGTTTATAACAAAATTGTTTGAACAAAGGAATTAATAAAATATGTGATCAATGTTTCCATAGACATTTTTGCATACAATGAATGCTGCATTAGATTTTAAAAAATTTCATTTTTAAGCTATACTGTTCTTTCTGAAAGGTTGAAATGTATTTAATATACTACCTAACGAGTAAATAGATTTCATTCATATCTGTTACGTAATTGTACGATTGAATGAAATAGAAATTACTTCATTAGGAAATAGAAATTATTTTATACTTTTTAGTGCATTTCGAAGTCGGCGTATTTTTTTTCTTAAAATTATTTTATTGTTGAAAGATATTGGCCTGTGGATTTCACTCCTTAACCGCACACCACACGAATCCCACATTCTTTAGATTAGTTATTTGCGAAAACAAGTCGTTTAGTGGGTAAAAGCCGCTCTTTACCTTCCTAGCGCTTGTAACTATCTGAACCTAGGTTCCAGAGACGTTACACATGGAATACATCGGGAGTCAAAGCCACAATATTTCAGCGT